TATATATATATATATATATTTTAGTTGTTAGTGGTGCTTTATTTTATTTATTTATATGTGGTGCTGAAAATCAAACCCAGTGCCTCACACATGCTAGGCAAGTGCTCTACCACTGAGCTACAGCTCCAGCCCCCTTCCCTTCGTATTTCTATAGAGGGCCATGTAAAGCTTTAGATTCTGTTTAGACTCCAGGTTTTAAGAGTTCAACACAGAAAGAATTTCAGGTCATTTGTTTCCCTCCAGAATGAAATTCTAATCTTGAGGGAGGTGGGAAGGACAGGCGAATGCATTATTGCAAACCTTCTCCAGTGATTCTGAGGTATAGCTCTGGTTAAGAGCCCCTGCCCAACACCCTGAGATATTTGAGTGTAAGGACCATGCCCTTCAACTTTGTATTTATTAAATACAACCAATGCCTGATATACAGTCAGTGCTCAGTAAAGGGTCAAGTGAACCAGTGGAAACAAGAGCTGAAGAATGATAGGGTCCAAAGAAATGGATGGAGGATAGCTTAGGAATAAGTATGGTCCCTTCATTTTTTTCAGTTGCCTTAGTGTTGAAATGGAAGGAGGCTCCCAGATATTCATGGGATGTCACTTTTGGCAACAATGGACCATCAGTTATCTGGGTTTTCTAGGTGTTTTGTAGCAAGGAGGGATTTCAGACTATGTAGTCTGCAATATTTCCAGAAATAGAAATCATTCTTTTTTCCTCTAATGACCCACACAACACCTGGGAATTGCCATAAAATTCCCAGAAGAGGAGTATGGTGAAGGAAAACCACTTTCCCTAGGTATACTTTGTATGGAACTGCCAGTGAAGCAGTATAGATATGGGCAGAAGACACCACTCTCCTGGTGTCTCCTGAGATCTGTGCTCTGACTGGTTTCCATCTGTCGTCTTCTGCCAGTTTTGTTGGGACTCACCTTCCATTTTCTCTCCACACAGGCTTGTTGAAAATGTAGGAGCCAATGTTTCCAACCGTCCCTGCTCCAAACTCTGATGCATACGCACCTGTGTACAGGTGAGCATGTGCACACACGCACACACACACACACACACTCACACTCACACACACACACACACACACACACACACACACACACACGAAGCACACACTCCTGGGTTCTTGAGGAACTTTCAACAGGAACTTATATTGTGAAAACTTTCATTACTTTAAAAAAAAATTTTAGTTGTAGATGGACACAATACATTTACTTTGTTTATTTAGTTTTTTTATGTGGTGCTGGGATGGAACCCAGTGCCTCACGTGTGCTAGGCAAGCATTCTACCACTGAGCCACAACCCCAGCCCATTACTTTTTAAAAAGATGTCTGAAATACAACATTTTGGACACATGGAGGTGCTCCAGCCCCCAGTTTCCTATCCATCTCTTGGAAAGGAGTGAGCAGTCTAGGACGTGCAGGGACACACAGAAGAACATTATCTTCTGCCATTGCATTAGGCCTAAACATACTTACCAAGCAAAATAGCAGCTGTGGTGAGGAAGAAAAAGCCCTGGACCAAGAGTTCAAAGGCCCAGGTTAAAGTACTGCCTCTGCCACTTGTTCTCTGGAGTCTGTTTCCTCACCTGTAAAGCCAGAGGAATGGTATTACTTCATATTTATATAAACTCAGCTGCAAAACACTGGTTTAGGTACCCTTGTTCTGAGTTATCACGGACCCCTTGTGCTTACCTGCTATTGACACTGACTGTTAATATGCCTGCCTCCCATGGCAGAAGGAGATCTGCTTGAAGGCAGAAATTGTATGTCTCTCCCCTACTGTGCCCTGCCTTCAGTACTCAGCAGAGTGGTCAGTGAATTTTGATTGTGCAAACGAAGAACAACTGGAAACTTGTCCATTTTTGTCTTTCCTGTTAAGCTGTTATGTTTCTAAAAGAATAGCTACTGCTTTATGGTCCTCATAGGTGGGCTACCAGATAGGGCAAATCTACTTTCATTCTGTGTAAATTTGATGTATGGATGATCCAAATGATCAGGAGTTGAGTCACTCACCATGTTACCTTACAACTACATTTGTCTTTGTGTGTGTGTGTGTGTGTGTGTGTGTGTGTGTGTGTGTGTTTGTTACTGGGGATTAGAACCCAGGGCTTTGTGGTGCATGCAAAGCAAGCACTCTACCAGCTGATCTATATCCCCAGCCCTAACAACTACATTCAAAAGCCTGTTAAAATTCTCATAGGAGAATATTTCAGTAGGCTCGGCCCCGCACCCTGGTTATTCAGTTGCCAAAGTGTCCCCAGCACATTGCATTTCCTCAATAATAACCCTTTACATGTGTGTACCACTGCTTTAAAGATTTGTTAAAAGGTCCATTTTCATGTTCACTGACTCATAGACTCTTAATAACACCATGAAATAGGCAGGGAAGGTACTCTTACTACCAGTTGACAGATGAAGAAACAAAGGTTCAGACATTACTTGTGTTGCCACGTACCATACCTAGGGCAATTTTGTGGCAGAGCTGGGCCTAGAATGTAAGCAGGTTTCTAATACCAGTCTGGTGTTCTTTATACCACTCATTAGTTCAACACTGTTGCATTTTGTGATGTTGCCTCAATGACATTTTTGCATCTCACCCTATTCCTGCTTCTCAACTGCACCACCCAGTATTTGCCATGGCATTCTCTGTGCTCAACCAGTGCCTCTCCCTCTTTTCCAAACACATCCTCTTGCGATTTCCTGTCTCTGTATCTTTGCATGTGTTTCCACATCTTGGAGGACACCCTAACCCCAATATCACTGCAAGTTGAGAGAAACCCAAGGCATCCTCTTAATCTCACCTCAAAGGCCACCTAGCCTATGATACCTTTGCAGATTAGCCCTGCTGGATGAGATCTCTCTACCCTTGAACTCACAGAGCAATCTGTCTTATTTTGAAGGGATTTCCATACCTCTTTAATTCCCTGTAGTCTCTCACATCCCTTGTCTGTGTCCCCACAGCCCCTATTACTCAGTTTTCAAATCACTTATCTCCCAATGTTGTGAGTCTGCTTTTGCCCTATGACTGTAACCTCCATGAGACCTGGAACTTTGATTCTTCTTGGTATCTCCAGCACTGTGCACAGTGCTTGGAACACAGTAGTTGCTCCAAAAAAAAAAAAAAAAAAAGAAAGAAATATATCGTGTGAATGAGTGGATGGATGGATGAATACTACCTAGCATGACGCCATGGATATTCGAGTTGCAAAATAATAATGGATTAAACTCAGTTTTCAACCAAATCTCACTATTTTCATCCTATCCTAGTGGGGGATAAAGGTTCTTTGTCCTGTCTCAGGCTGTCTCTTCTACTCCCGCTCTGGATTCTAGCACACCCTGCCTCCCCAGGTACCTCATTCACTCATTCAATGACCTCCTCTCGCCAGGGTATCTACTCGCTTCCTCTTCTCTGTCTGACTCCCTTCCTTGCAGTAACTAACATGCTCTGGTCTAAAAGTAAGTGCCCTCAACTGGATGGGTGTCTTCCTTCGCCTGTCCCTCACATTATAAACCATGCATCTCATGATAGAGTAACCTGGCTGGACCTTTTACTGGGGAATATTCAGTGTCACTGTCCTTAGATATTTTCTATTGGGTTGGTCAGATGGCCCACAGAAGACTCTTTCAGATGCTAGATTTTAGGGGCAGAGTCAGGGAAGAAGACTGGAGGTTCACAGCTTTCAGGATGCATGCATGCACTTAAGCCCCCTGTTTTCAATATGAGAATCCAGCCCTCAACCAGGTTTAGGAATTTCTAGTCCAGAGGCTCTTTCCTTTACACTCTCCAGGGAACGGCACTCCAGATTTCTCTCTGGGAAGGGAGAGGCCAGCCCCTCACTGGCTTTGGCTGCTGGAGGGGATTTGGGAATGAATTTACGTCTTAAACCAGTTTACAGACAACCTCATTATTTTGGTGCCTAGCCACCTTCACCTCCACTTCCAAAGTTACCTGTGGCAATTTTTGAAGATCCTTGGGGGCAGGTGATGATATACATTGGCTTTTGGCTTTTCCCACTAAGGTCTCAGGATTCCTGCTTTGTGGTCTTCTTGGATCTGCTACGTCAACTGCTAGTCATCCACGTGCTTTTCAGCATTCCAACTTTAGTTGCTGCTTCCTTTCCTGTTGTCCCCATCATATCCTCCAAATCCTGTTCCTCTAATCCTTTCAAAAATCATTTTATAGTAGTTTCAGTGGCGGTTCTGAGAGTCAATGAAGCCTCTCAAATGAAGAGGGTTCTGAGAGGCAATTAAGCTATATGTAGAACTATGGGTCCCACCTATATATCACCATGGACATGGGTGTCCACCTGCCTATTTCATTCATTTTCCACACCTGTTTCCCAAGCCACTCTTCCTAAAACTCTGCAGACCTAATTTGTCTCATCAGGCTCTCTGACCATTCTTCTGTTTCATCTCTGAATCTCCAGATCACCCAAGCCACCAAACAACTTCCTATCCATAAACCCTCAGGCCTTAAAGGTCAGATACCTTGTCAGTAGACCTGCACTTCATGACCCCTAGCATTTCCTTGCACCTTTCCAGTTCTGAGTCTCCTAACTTTGCTGCTTCTAAGAAGGCTGTTGATTTCATAGGCTAGCCCCAATCTCTCCTCTTTTCCCAAGTAATGATATTGGCAACAGTAATAAACGGCTAGTGTGTACTGACTGTAAATTATGTGCTGCTCACTCTGGTGGATGCTTTCTACCCAAGATCTCAGTTCATTCTGCATCACAGCTTTTAATTTTTTTGTACCCATCCCCTTTTTAGGTAGTTGGCATTGCATATGAAGAAACAGTGCCTCAAGGAAGGAAAGCTGATTTCCCAAAATTCGTCAGGCTAATAAGATGGAATTTAAGCCCAGGTCATTCTAAAGTCTGTGTTCTTCTTATAACACTATCCTGCCTGAGTCAAGGCATCAGAGAGGGAGCTAGAAAGCATAATCCAAATGTATACTAAATACCTGAATTGGAGAGAGTCCCCACCACCCAATGGGTAAACTGTGGATAAAGATGGATCTAGCAGAGAAAACCTTTACTAACTTCACAAGTTTACACAGCATCCACACTTGTGATCCTCTGTTGTGCACAGGATAAATGACCGTGTTTATCTACCCACACAGAAAGTAAGTTAGAACACTACTACAAATCTGTACGCTATACACCAACATGGCTTAAGATGATTTATCACAATTGCAAAAGATGCCCGATTTTTTTTTTTTCCAGAAAGGAAGGTTGGATTCCATTAATCAAGCTAAGACTTTATACTGCATTACTGCCTGGCACAAAAAAAGATAGTGCACTCTGTAGTTTGCAAACTCGACTCAGGAAATCGGGGAAGAGTAAAATCCACATGGGAAAGATTTCCATTGACTTCTCATCCAAGATGGTACAGTTAATTCATGCTATGAAACACTTGGCAGTGATATACTGAATTTAACAAAGTAAACTCAAAAAGGCATGGCCAAGACAAAAACACACGAATGTGATCAGATGCTTGTCTCCATATTGAAGTGTCAGGCTTGCTTGTCTGGAAGCAAAGCATGGTGGACAGAAGTTAAGCTCCTACAAGGAATAGTGGCCCGAAAGTACTCTGAGCTAGATGGAGGGCAAAAGCCACATTCACTGTGTAAAGCCAAGGACTAGAATGTGGCTACCCACAAACTTGCCAACCCTGGCTATAAGTCTGAACAACAATGACAACAACAAAAAAGAACATCTACCCAACTCTGCCAGGGTCTTTGGCTCTTAGGAGCTAAAGGTGTGTGGGGATGAGGACACAGGCAATGTTTCTAGAAAATGTTTTTGAGGTCTTTTTTTTTTTTTCAAACTACTTGCAAAACTAATCTATATATGCTCATGGTTCTTTCAAGATCTTGCTGGAAGAACTGTGAAAGTGGGAATGATGATTATTGTCTATGAATGGTTGGTTAGACTGTAAGCATGGAAAGGGTGAGGGAGTTAACAAAATCTATTGAGCAATATGGCAGATTAGTTAAAAGAACTGTCGCTGGAGCCACTGTCTTCAGGTTTCTAATTTAAAGTCTGACACTTATTTTAGCCTTGTGACCTTGGGTAAGCCTCTTAATCTCTCTTTGCCTCTATTTTTTTTGTTTTTTTTGTTTCCATCTGTAAAATGGCGACAGGGTTGTTGTGGAGATTAAGTGCACTTAGAACAGTGTCCAGCACATAGACAGCACTATGTAAGAGTTAGCTATTATTGTTGGGCAACAATGTGTGCTGTGAACATCTTAGTTTAATAACCACAAAGTTGTTTAAAAAACTCTATGAGGTAGGTATTTTCTGTTCTGTACCTGTATGAGAGAACTTAAGCAATGAAAAGCCAGACAAAATGACCGAAGTCGCATAACTACTACAGAATGGCAGAACCTTTAGATGCTGCCTAGTCCAAGGCTTTCACTTCTCAGAAGAACAAACTGAAGTTCAAAATAGAAGGGCATGCCTCAAGTCATTTAGTGCCAGAACTGGGCTTAGAAATTCAGCAACAGGCCTCTTCCCTTCAAGTAGTTCTCAAACTTTGGTGTGCATCAGAATCCCCTGGAGGGCTTGCTCAAACAAACTGGTGGTCTCCACTCCCAGAGTTCCTGATTTAGTAGGTCAGGGTGGGACGTGAACAGTTGCATTTCTAAAGAAATTGTCAAATGATGCTGATGCTGCTGGTCTGGGGACCACACGTTGGGAACCTCCACAGCACACCATAGTTCATACATTCTTTTTTCCTTCTCACCACGGACTCCACAGTCTGTGATCTATAAACACTTACAAGAAAGGGAAACCGGTGATGAAAACTAAAGAAAAATAAATAGCTCCCAGCAAGAAGGCAAGGTGACTGACCAAGAGTCCTGGGTTTGTGTGGGACTTTTCCAATTTTACAGTACAGGAAACTCCTCAGCCCCAGGCACTCTGAGAGGGTTGGCCATTGTAGACAAAGGCAAACAAAATTTGATGCCAGTCAGCTGCCAAACAGAAAAGGACATACAGAGAATGAGGTAATTTCTGATGAGTTTGTCTGAAAAGGACTCATTCATTTCTTCCTCTCCCAACAAATCTGTATTATGAAACTACTCTTTGTAAGGCACCATGTTAGGTGCTGTGCTCCTGACACTATTGATCCCATCCCACCAGAGAAGAAAGGTAAAAGTGAGTCTACAGTGAGCTTGGTAGACACAGACCCAGGGTTATATACTCAGAAACACCTGGAATAGGAGTGGGAAGGGAACACCCCACATGGAAACTTTTCAACCATGTTTCAATACATGATCAGCAGTCCAATAATTCCCTTCCTCCCTTTCTTCCTCTGAAGGGAGCACATCATTGAGAAGGATTGATTAAACATTTAGGAAAAGGAGGGTGTGGTAGTGAACTATTTCATTAATAATTCAGGAGAGTCAAGGTAAGGGGAGTCCTTTAGTAAGGGTGGTAAGTTGAAATTTTTGTCCTTGTCTTTACAGACCCAAGAGTATGTCCTTCACTTGTCATAAATCAATGCTAACCTCAGTTATGGTGTAATCTTCAAGGCTAATTTATACAAAACTTCAAAAAAGGCAAATGTCCTGGGGAAGACTAATGGTGACGTATTTTAGAGGAGTGCATAGTAGCAAAGAGAATTCTTTAGGTCCCCAAATTAATTCTCAATCCTTTGACCTGACAGGAATAAAGATTTCAGGGAAGACTCCTAAAGATTCATGGTAAAAATAAAATGCAGAAATATTTTGAGAACACATGTTGGAGCACTGGATGGATCAATAAAATAATGCATAGACTACCAAGTGTTTCCTGGGAACTCACTGAAAAATTCAGATTAGGCTCTATTCTCTGTAAGTTTTCTTTCCTTTATGACTCCTATATTTCTTAATGATATATATTTTTTTTCTGTAGGGTGCACCCTGGCCTACATGTTGTTTCATCATTGTGCAGTGCTCAATGTGGTTATTGTACAGCTTCATTTTCAGTGAAAGCCACGGGAACAGAAGCCTCATACATTCCCCACCCATCCCACTTTCACACATCGGTCATTCAAGAAATAAAGGAAAGAAAGCATTAAATATGACCCAGTCACATCTTGGCCATTAACATAACATTCTAAGAGAAGGAAAAATATCATTAATGGAGGAAAACACATTACCTCCTAAAATGCCACCAAATTGCCGAAATACAAGTTTGTTAGTGATGGTGGTGGAGGGGGGTGGCGGGGGAGGGAGGGAATATTATCATGTGGAACCTCAGCAGTCTCTGAAAACCCTACAAATTTCCCCCATATAACTACCAAAGTGATGGGTTTGCTCCACAAGAACTGTTGTGACTTGGGAGTTTAAGTTCTTCAGAGGTGAGTTAGACAGCGATGATTCTTCGAAGAAATTAAAACACTATATTTGAATTCAGTTCCCAGGTTATCACTGAGCTTGGGTTACCAAACAATTCCTACAATGTCTACAGTTCTAGGACACTACAAAGCAAAATCTAGGGTTTCAGCCAAACCCTTCAATCCATAGGCCTATGTAAAGGGCTGTCCCAAGGAACCAATCATCTAGCCCATTGGTTCTCAAAGTATGGTCTAAAGAGTCTTGGGGGGCTGGGTAATCCCAGTGACTTGGGGGCTGAAGCAGGAGGATCGATAGTTCAAAGCAAGCCTCAGCAACTTAGTGAGGCCCTAAGCAACTTAGACCTTGTTTCAAAATAAAAAGGGCTGGGGATGTGGTTCCGTGGTTAAGCACCCCTGGGTTCAATCTTCCTCCCCGCCAGCAAAGATTCTTGGGAGTTTCTGAAGCCCTTTTAGTGGGTCTGTGGGATAAAACTGTTTTTCCACATTTTTACTGGTACGTTATATATAATGGTAGGATTCGTTACATATTCATACATGGACACAATACAACAATATAATTTGGCCAGTATTGTTGCCCAGTATTGTCCTTTCCCTCCCCTCTTCCTCTCCTTCTGGTACCTTTCCTCTTCTCTACTGTCTCCCTTTATCTTTCATGAGATATCTCCGCCACCATTCCTTTTCCTTTTCTCCTTTCTAGCTTTGACATGAGAGGAAACATATGAATCTTGACTTTCTGAGTTTGGAGGAATGGCATCCAGCTAATCCGCGCTCCTCAGTATTTACCCTAAAGAATTGTATTCGTCATACTGTAGCAATACAGGGATGAAACTATTTTACAATAACAGTAAGGTGATACTTTCTTTTTCACTCCCATCATCTCATCTTTTCCAGAGGTGACATGACATGTGATGTTGTCTCTGATAGCTGAGGGATGTGTGCTTCTGTGTTCTTGAATTTTAAATATTTCTGACTCTCAAAATCTAAGATAATTATTATCAGTAGATACAACCTAAACTCCAAAACTCTTTGGGATCCTCAATAGTTTTTCAGGGTGTTAAGGTGCTTCTTTCTGAAGAGCAGAGTAAACCCTCTTGAGTAAAGAGACAACCTACTGAGCGGGAGAAGTGATTATTTCCAAACAATACACATGGCATGGGGTTGATATCCAGCATATGTAAAGAACCCCAATAACTCGGTTGCCCCAAAACAGATAACCTGATTAAAAATGGGCAATAGGGCTGGGGATGTGGCTCAAGTGGTAGCGCGCTTGCCTGTCATGCGTGTGGCCCGGGTTCGATCCTCAGCACCACATACAAACAAAGATGTTGTGTCCGCCAAAAACTAAAATAAATAAATAAATATTTAAAAAAAAATTCTCTCTCTCTCTCTTTAAAAAAAAGGGGGGGGCCAATAGACCTAGGTCAATGTGACTCAAAGGAAGACATTCAGATGGCCAACAGAGACGTGAAAATATGCTGAGCAACACCAATCATATCAGAAATGGCAGGCAGCGCTTCGCCTGACCCCCTCTAAGAGGTCAGTTGTCAAAGAAAAAGAAAAAAAACAAATGTTGGTGAGGATGTGGAGGAAAAGGAACTCTCATACATTGCTGATGGAAATGTAAGTTGGTACAGTGATTATGAAAGACGGTATGGAGGATCTTTACGCAATTAAAGGTAGATCTCCCATATGATGCAGCTACCTCACTTCTGGGCATGTATCCAAAGGAAATGACTATGAGCACACCAAAGAGATCCTAGCATGGTCTTGTTTATTGCTGCATTATTCACAATAGCCAAGATATGGAATCAACCTAGATGCCCATGAACAGGTTAATGGATAAAGGAAATGTCATACATATGTGCAATGGAATACTATCCAGTCATAAAAGAATCTTATCATTTGTATAAAAATAGATGAGATTAGAGGACATTATGTTAAGGGAAGTGGATCAGATAGAAAAACAAGTACCACATGTTCTCCCTTGTGGATATTAAGACCAAAATTTAGGTGAATTGTTGATTTATCAGTGTTATTTCTAGAATGGATTTCATTCTAACTATCCTAGTCAGAAGGAAAATTTACCTACTCAGTATTGCTTTGATTTCAATATGGAGAATCAAAGGAATTCTCTATGTTTCTGAAGTATAGTTACCAAAATTATCTAAAAAGGTTTAGAAAATGTGAGCTCATGTTATAGCTTAGGGGAAAGATCTACCCCACTAGATGGTTGACAGAAGCCCCCCTCTCTGTAACATGTTCCCATGCTAGAGAAAGGGGCCGCTTCTGTCTCATGGGATGGGATAGAGAGACAATATGTAGTAGATTTTCACACAATATTATTCTGCTGATATGAAATTCTGGTAGCCAAGGTGGCAGGTATGTTCTTAATCCCAATGCTGTCAAATTTAAGCCTGGAGCCCCAAGAGACGAGCGGTATTTAAGACATCATCTCTTGTTAAGTAGCAGCCACACAGTTGGCGGTAGCCAGTGAAGGATTCCCTGCCATGTAGGACTCTCCAGTTGTCTATAAATAGGACCTGTGAATGAATAAAAAGAGAAAACATCATCAGAACAAGCGCAAACCCAAAGAACCCTAAATCAGAAGAGATCATGTAAAAAGCAAAGCGTTAGGTGGTTCTATGGTTACATTCTGTGCGATATTTTTATTTTTAAATTAAGCAGACTTTTGGAAGCCCAGACGGGTGTAACCCTGTAGCAGGATAAATGGAAGTTGCAAAGGCAATAGTAGGTAATAAATGGGCCCTGCCCTTGAGGGGTTTATGTTTCTTGAATAATTGTCCTCTTTTCAAAGCAAATCATGTAATTTGATTCTTTCGTTTTCTTTTCTACTTCTCACTCTATACTTTCTCAAAGGGTTAAGCTATTTTATTATGTTTTATGAAGATATTCTCCATCCAGAGGAAATAAAGATGAAAAAAAAATGGAATCATGAAGGTGGAGGGACTCTTAGGGATCATGCAGTTAAAACCCCTCGTCATTCACATAGAGTCACAGATGTCAGAGATGGGGTGGGGCCTGCTCCCAGGTCATTCAGTGAGTGAGTGGCAGGACCACAGCCAGCACCTAGGACTTTTTTTTTCCCCCTCTGTTTCCTTTGCAACAACACGACACATACTAAACAAGTACCATTATTGATTGATTTGTTTATTTTTATTTCCATTTTTAAAAATTTTTTGGTACTAGGGATTGAACCCGGGCTGCTTTACTACTGAGCTCCATCCCCAGCCCTTTTCATTTTTTTAAAGGATTTTTTTTACCTTTGTTTTACTTATTTTTATGTGGTGCTGAGGATTGAATTCAGTGCCTCACACATGCTAGGCAAGCGCTCTACCACTGTGCTACAACCCTAGCCCACCTGTTTTTAAATTTTTGAGACAGGGTCTCACTAACTTCCTGAGGCTGGCCTTGAACTTACAGTCCTCCTGCCTCAGCCTCCAGAGTCACTGGGATTACAGGTTTGTGCCACCATGCCTGGCTTTCTTCACTGCTTCTGTGTAACAAGCTTATTTGAT